TGTATTACTTTGTTCCCCAGGCTTCCTCTCACATTGATGTTTGCTCCCTTCATGAGTGTAAATTAGTCCTGGATAATGTTCCTCAGAGTTTCTGAACCAGTAAACTTTGTGTTCTCCACCACAGCTCCCAGTTTGTAATGTACAGTTCAGAGTCACAGAGTCTCCTGGCTGGAAAATCTCAGTTTCTGACTGTTGGTCGATTAAAGCCTGCATGTTTAATACTGATTCTTGGACGTGAATGACGGTGCCCCCATCAAACTCAATCTTGTATGAATGCCCAGTTATGCAGAAATAAGTCGCTGAGTCAGAGGGCTGCAGATTTGCAATCCTCAGGTTACTTAGATGTCCTTCAGTGTCTAGGGTGAAGCGGGGATTATCTTTAAACTCATTATAAAAAGTTCCATTTCCATACTTGTAGGCAGTACAAATGGGCTTTGGCTTCTGTCCAAATGATAGTTTGTACCAGTTAAACTTTGAAGTTGATTGTGGGTCATAAAAACATTGCACAGTTACACTTTCTCCAGCTTTTACTGAAACAAACCGACTGCCTTGTTGAACAGATGAGGAGACCTGGTGAACCGTCTGAGCTGAGATAAGGAGAGACTGATTAAAATATATCTTAAATCAAACATGCAAAAACAAATTGAAATACTCTGACTCATATTACAATGCCAGAAAAACAAACTTACCAAATTTGAATGAGAATAAAAATGTAAGACTGACGGCAAACTGTCCAGGATTCATCTTGATCAACGAGCTGAATGAGAAAAACTCCACGCCTTTGTTCCGTTTTAATCGACTGCACTAAAATCGACTGACAAAGTAGAAGTGAGAACTTATGTCATGATTACCACCATCTACAGGCCAGAATGAAAAGAAGGTAGACAAGGAGGAGACAGACTTGTCATTTCTGCTGTGGAAAATTAGCTGCATTAGCTGCAAAGGAAATCCCTCCTCTAGTGTTTTGTTCTAGTTTAAATTCTGCCTGCAAAAATATCACAAACAACTTTGAAAATTGCTGTTGTTTAAAGACAAAGACAACACTTTATAAGCGGCCACCATGTCAGACCTGTGGTCGCTTATAAAGGCAGAGTGCGCACAAAATATGGAGCATGATGCTTTTAAAGTAAGATTAGATCAAGACTTTGGTGCAGATTTCACTGAATGTTTGCAGTGAAATCTGTTCATTCCAAGTGTGTTACCACATCCTATAGGACCAAACCTATAACATCTTTATCGTCATGTGTGGGGTGTCTAAGGTTGTGAAAATCAACCAACAGTTTTAAAATCCTGTCATGTGAACAAGGAGTGTCGTTTGGTCAGATGACACCAAACATGAACTCTTTAATTGGCATTGCACATGGGAGGAAGACTGGTTCTGAAAATCAACCCTAAAACACCATGCTGGGTATTAGCAATGCAAGCTTGGGTTGTCTTAGAGAAAAGGGCTGGATAGTGAAATGTACTGAGACTCTGTAAAGTATCAAACTGACAATATTTGGAAAAAGCTGAAGATCAGTGTCCAGAAAATGCCTGCAGAAATTTTGTGCAAAAGAATTGTCAAAAAACACACCTGTGAGATATATTTGACTAGTTTCTCCAAGCAGGAGACATTTAGAAGTTGTCAAGAATTACACTTTCTAAAAATATTTAATACATTTTTGATAAATACATTCAGAAATTGTATCCAGAGGCATCCCATTTTTGTATCAAAGCACATTTGGATAATGTGCTTTGATTTCTTTCTAAAGGCTGCTAGGATTAGACTGGCAGGTGTTATTATCTCACATGTCTGTTTTGATGATGGTAGCACTTGTTACAGTCAGACATTTTACTGGAACTTGAGGATATATCAACTACAGAAGACATCACCCATACATTTTGGATCATGTAGTGTAGATACAGTCATCACCTCCACCCACAACATTTAAGAGCAAGAAATGTTTTAAGTTTACAGACATAATAGCTACTGTATTCTACCACTTAGATTAATCTCCAAATATAACATGTCAGACATTTTCTGCAAACTTCCACCAGCAAAATTAGTACATCTTCTACAGAAACCAAGGTTGTTATCTCCAGAGGACACTGATGAAAGCTCTAGCTGTAGTTAGGTTTCAGTGTATTGGAGACTAAACCAAGAGTGGGCTACACCTGAGGCTTGAGTAGGCCTCCACAGTTTATAGAAACAAAGGTTTCTGGTTCATAAACAGAACAAAGGTTTATGTCCCAGATCAGAGATTGGTTGAATCTTTACTGGATTGAATCTACAAGAGCTAGAAGTCAGAACGCTGTCAAGGCAAAGACAAGGTTTCAAAAGATTTATTTGAAAAGCTGATATG